TTCTTTAGAAAACACTCGTTCAGAAAGATTGTCTCTCGAGTAAACTTAACAGCGTCCTGGGTGACGTCACCTGTAATAGACCCTTCCTCCTCAAAGCAGCTGGTGAGTCACTGGTCCCTACCCACTTTGGCTCAGTAACCGTGTAGTGATCAGACGATCAGTGGATCCATCACCTCAATGGGTAGCATCGCTCTGTGCTGGGAACACTGAGAACTCTGTCACACTATTTTGAAATATATAGTGGGTTATTGTTAGGTATACTCATGGCATTGTGCTGCAGAAGGCTAGAACTACTGTTCTCATCTAATTGTAATTTTCTATCTGTTTATCAGCATCTATCTACCCGCCTTCCCAATCCTGGTGTCTACAAAACATGCCATGCAGCACTGGGAATGAACTGCCACGGTCAAGGAAGTGGAAACTCCCGATGTGGATTAAAAGGCGTCTAGAGACGTGCTCTTCCCTTTCGTCAAAACATAGCTCAGAGTCAGGTGGAATCTGGGGTCGGGACAGCAGCTCTTCCTGGAAGGGGAGGTAGTCTTGCACAGGAGCTGGAAGGGGAGGCCACGGCTCCGTTCATACCCTGTGGGGTGGGCCACGTTCTGGGCGTGTGCCATGATTCGGAACAACGTAAATGTTTACCTCTGTCTCGTGGATATTTGCAATTTGATAAAGGGCTGCTAGAAAGTTTTCCTCGGAGAAAATGAGTCCGTAATGACATTTTGGGCAAAGGGAGAGAGCAGGCAGTGATGGGACTGTGGGAGGCCTGTCATTTATCATCTGTCATCTATCTATCTATCTGTCACCCAACCATCTTTAGTGTCTTCGCTTAGAAATCCGAACTTCCTTAAATGTGTGCACTTAAATCCATGGTCTAAAACTACGATACTTTTTCACACCCCCTCTGTGACAGAGGCTGGGCACACACTAACCCGCGTGTGGTCCCCTCCCTGTACTTGGCTGGGACGTGTGCCCTGCGGTGAGCAAAGGTGTGCGGTGCTTACACACGCACCAGCACGGGCCTGGCCCTAAGCCCTGCACAGGTCACTTGCTCGCTCCTCCCCTCGGGGGCTGCACTGTGATGCCCAGAGTTACCTGGGGGCCTGGACGGGTCCATGGAGAAGCCCTCTTTCTCCTCCACCTTTGGACTCTCAAGGCTGAGCAGCCTCCACTGAGCCTAGCACCCAAGAGTTCCCTGCTGACGACAGCTGGGACTGCAGCTCCCTTCCCTGTGCTGTTCGTCGGGGTTTAACAAGCACCTAGGACGGCCGCCACCGTTCTAGTCTCTGGGGTCTGACGAAGGCTGAGGACAGCAGCCCTGCTCCGTGCTGGCCCCGGATGCTGGTGCAGTTTGGTTGGAGTCGGGGCCAAGCTAACGTACAGGTTGGGGAAGGCTAAAATAACGCAAGGCTCAGGGCACAGGGAGGTGGGAGCTGCTCCGGGGGCACAGGGAGGTGGGAGCTGCTCCGGGAGACAGCGAAGAGCTCAGCCTCCTGGAAGACACAGAGGCAGCCCTCCGTCTCTCGGGGCCAGGCCCGAGGCAGCCTCATTCAGGTGGTGTAGGCAGCTGGCAGAGATCAAAGGCAAATGTCCCTGCTCCCTAGGATGATGGCAGCCTGGCCAGAGAGGGCTCCAGCCCAAACACCCTAACACCCAGGCTTAAAATAAGCAGGTGCTCAGAGACTCACTCCAGCCGGGCTCCCTTTGGGACACTGGAGGTCTGCACCTCTGGGGTAAGACTATGCACCCTCGTGTGGTCTGCCGTCTGCACTGACCTTGTGGGGTGTGACGACTGTCCGTTGGTACCTGGGGCCCGCCTGGAGGAGGGACTGAAGTCCTGCTGTCGGGGAGGCGCACAGAACCAGTTGCTCCCCTCCTACGGTGAATGCCCCACGGGTCAGGGGTTTAGTGGCCCCTCGTGTTTGGGGCACTGTTGTCCTAAGGCCAGTAGGAGCTAGATGGATCTCCACAGAGTCCCCTCAAGTCTTTCCTGTGGCTTCCTGGGTCCCCAGACCATCCGCCGCCCAGCCCGTCCGTCCTGCTCCTCCGGTCACACCCGGGCCGGGCCGTGGCTGCGGGAGCTGCACTGAGACTAGGAAGTGCGTTAACCTCTCTGAGCTGGTTGTAAAGCAGGGCGTCCTCTGGGGGGCAGCAGTGAGCCCTTCTTTTGCTTGGGGTGCAGCTGGGAACCGTGGGTGTCTGCGTCAGCCCTTCCTGCTGCAGCTGAGGTTTGTTCCGACTCCCACGAGGAGCAGGAAGCGGCTGTTTTCATGGCGTTCTCGGTGTAAACAGTAAATATATCCAGAGCACCTCCAGGGGGAGTGGCTGGGATGAGGCCTGAGGCTCAGGGATACGTGGGCCTTGGTGTCTGCCAGCAGCCCTACTGAGGTTGCCGAGGGGGCTGTGGGACGGCGTGTGTGTGTCTGCACATGCGTGTGCATCTCTGCACCCATGTGCATGTGTGGGAAGTGTGTATGCATGTGTATTTGTGTGTGTGTTTTTTGTGCCTGTTTGTTCATGAGTGTGCAGAGTGGTATGTGTGCTAAGCATGTGTTGTGCATGTGTCGGTACACCTGCATATGTACAGTGGAGGATGTGTATACAGACCCTGCAGTTTGTGTGTGCGCATGCATGTGTCTGACGTATGCGGGTCATGTGTGAACACATGTGTAGTGTGTGCTATGAGCACCTGGTGTGCATGGACTTGTGCATATGGTATACGTGCGTGTGTGTGGCTGGACTGGCCCATGGTCACTGAGAAAGTTTGTGAAATTGGACCCACCCCTTCCCAGCCTGGTCCATCTCACCCAGCCTCACCCAGCCCAACCTGTGTGTTTTCCATGAAGCTGTGACTTTCTTCACAGCCCGCCAGCTTATCGCCCTTCCCAGACCAGTTGGGGTGAGGCCTGCAGAAGGGCTGGAGGAGGGCGGCCCAGGGCTCTAGAGACAGCCAGGGGGATCGCAGAGCTGGTGCAGAGCAGCAGGCTGGACCCCCACGTGGGTCTCAACAGGGGAAATGGGTGGGGAAGGGTGTGAGATGGAGACAACAAAGGCTGCGTGTGTGGAGGGGTCAGAGCCCCCCTGCGGTCCTGGGTCCGTTCACCTCCCCAACCCCACGCAAGGGGGGCGCCTGTTGAATATCTGGAAGGTCACCCCGTGGGTCAGGGCCCTGACTGACACTGTCCTCTGTGATTATAGACACGAAGTGAAGCCTAGAGGAAGAGCCGGAGTCAGACAGCCCTGCCACTCCCGCGTGATTCTCAGGTGCTCCAGCAGGAAGGGGTTCTTGCAGGGGTGACCAGCAGCTTAGCCTGCCCTTTGAGACTGGGGTGGGGGGCACCCATCTGCATGCCGTTTTACCAGTGCCTGCTCGCCCTGTGCTCCAGAGCCACTCACTGTGCATCCCCAGCAGCATGTCAAGGAAGTGCACGGTACAGACTTGGAGAAAGACCCAGAAGCCACTGTTCCACTGCGACTGTGAACTCCAGGAAGCGGAGTCACTGGGGACTTGCGCTAACAAACGGCTGGCCCTGATGGTGGGCCTTTGGGTGCCAGAGGCCTTCTGGCTCTCCGAATCTCACTTGGTTGAAGCCCAAACCTTCCATTGTTTCCTCCGCTTTTTGCCACTCCCTGCCTCTCTTAAACGGAAACCTAAAGACCTTCAAGGACCTCTAAAACTCTTTCCAGGGCCCTGGGTTCCACAGTGTCATTCGTGGGTGTGTGTAGTGCCACCCTTGTGAATTTCACCCCTGTGAGGTAGCCTGTGCCCTCCTCCCACTGTCACAGCCCTCAGAGTGAGGGCTGTGTGTTTAGGAAGCATCTGGAAAGTACAGGGGTGAAGGTGAAGTGAAGGTGATTAAGCCCTGGCGTTTTCAGGGGCATCCCTGAAGGAACGCCATGACACCCGGCGATGGTTTGGACCTGGGGACACTGCTTTCTAAGTGCAGCCTGCGTGCAGAGCCGCCTGAGAGCCGTAACTCCTCTTTAATCAGGTTCCATTCCAGAGAACGCTCCTTAATGAGGGTTAAGGACATTAATTACTGTCCCCTTCAGTTAAGAACATGCTTGGGAGGAGCTAACAGCCACATAACGGCCAGGAATCGCTTGGGTCACACAAAACTCCAAAGTAGAGTCCGCGTCCCTTTCTTCCCGCACCCCTCCACCCTTCTGCCCTGCACGGCCACCTTTTCTTCTGGGGCAAGCTTCCTGGCTCCGCTGGCTAGCCATGGGATTGCAGCAGACGCCGCCTTGGCCTCAGGGACTTGGGGTTTTCAGCATTGCTGGTGAGCTGTCCTGCGGGTGGTGATGCTGCAGGCACGCCACCCGGGAGGTGAGGACCAGGCCCTGGCCCCATCCTCCATGGTGCCATCTTCTGATTGTGTCCCTACCACAGTTCAGAAGCGACCATTTGCTGTCTTCCACCAGTAACTGCTCACAGGTTCTGTTTTGTTGCTGATGACAGGAAATGCCAGAAATTGGGAATTCATAAGAATAGAGGTTTTTTCAGCTCCCAGCCTGGAGGTCCAAAGCCCAGTGGCTACATGTGCTGAGGGTCTCTTGGCTTCGTCACAGCATGGCGGGGGGCAGGAGCGTGTGCACCTGTGTCCACGTAGCTCTGTTATTCCCTCTCCCTATAAACCCCCAGGAGTCAGTCATGGGGCCTGCCCTGATGACCTTAAGCCTAGTTCCCTCCCGAAGGCCCCACTTACCACACCATGGTTGGTTAAGTTTTCACCCTCTTAATGCTTTCATAGCCATTATTTTTTTTAATTGAGAGATTTTTGCTATGGGACACATGCACTCACCAGAGACAGAAAGAGGGAAATCACCTCCCCAGGGGGGTTGGCCATGCTACAATCCTTTCTCCTCCACTCTTGGGATTCTGGGCGTATACACACATGTGCCCAGTGTGAGTCTTAAGTCACCGGGTCCACGACTCGAACCTCAGTCGACTATGCGGGAGTCCAGCAACATAACCAGTATGCCATCTTCTGGTCCCTCAGCATAACCAAATTTATTACAATTTAGTTTGTTAACGAACTTTGGGGGGACACATTCAAATAATAGCAATGTTTCTACAATGTTTACATATCTTTTTGAATCTTTTTCTATGATTTACTTTTTTCTCATTTACCATTTTTTTTCTTCCTCAATCAGACATTCCCTCCTGAGTCTGCCCCATTTTTATGTCGGGATTTCATCCAGTCCTTGGAAAAGAGTGCTAGCTCGGGGCATCCACTTCAGCCCTCGCGGCCCTGGGCGTTAGCTCCACCTTCAAAATGAGGAGGTTGAAGGAGGTCATTTTCAGATCTGTTGTAGCTTCAGTAACCAAATCTCTTAGTCAGTTCAAGGACAACATCTTTATCCCACATTACTGTCTACATTACTAGAACAAAGAATGGATTTATTAAAATATTAGCAAGATACTATACAATGTATATGGATTAACAAAAAGGTAGTGCTCCGAGATACTCATCGTTTACAATTGATAAGTCAGAATATTTTCTACCAGATTTTGAACTTGACAATCAGTACTGATGAGATGGAAGACGGCGAGAACATCGCGGAATGCGCGAGAACGAGATTCAGTTATGCACAGACGACGCGGATCAGGGAGGACTCCCAAGCTGTAGAAAGGACCGTGATGGACACCTCGCTCGGTGTCCACCCACGAATGTCGGAACTAAGCACACGCAGTGGTTCTGAGCGTGCGGGGTCAGCTCGCTGCCGTGTGTCCCTCCGTGTCTTCTACTTGGGCTTCTTTGAATGGTGAGTCTTCCTTCTGGACAGTTGGGGCCATCTTCATCCTAGAGAGAGACTCGAGGATGGTCCCTCAGGAAGGCATTACTTTTTCTTTTTTTCTTTTTTCCCTTTCTTCTCCTTCTTTTTCCCTTTAGTCTTTTCCTTTTTGGTACTAATTCCCATTAATGCCAAGGCTCGCCTTTTACCCAAGGGGGTTTTGGCATACCACTCCTGAAAAGAAAAATATAAGATATTTAGAAAAAGATCAAAATGACATGCATTCACTGGAATACTAAAAAACTAAAAAAAAAAAGGAAGTGTGCCATGGAAGATATAGGACAAAAACAGCATTTTCTTGAGTTATGCTATTTAGGTACTGGTTTTAGTTATGCAAAATGTGTCCCATAGCACAAAACGGGAGGTGAAAGCAAGGTAAACGTGTTTGTGTGTAGCTCTGTGTGTACCTCTGTGCGTAGCTCTGTGCGTACCTCTGTGCGTAGCTCTGTGTGTACCTCTGTGTGTACCTAAGTGTGTACCTATGTGTGTAGCTCTGTGTGTACCTCCATGTGTACCTCTGTGTGTAGCTCTGTGTGTACCTCCGTGCGTAGCTCTGTGTGTAGCTCTGTGTGAACCTGTGTGTGTAGCTCTGTGTGTACCTGTGTAGCTCTGTGTGTAGCTCTGTGTGTACCTCTGTGTGTGAATGCAATGGCTTTGAAGCTGCTACTCAATTCTACGACTTGGCCATTCACTTAGAAGGTCACAGACCATAATTTTCTTGAAATCTGGGAGACATATGCTTTACTACTAAGGTTAGAAAGATGTTGTGATCCTAAAATTTCAAGTTTGCAAACTTCCTTATATGTGGCAGAGTTTAAACTAAGAAAACCCAGGGAACCAGAGGGGCGGGTAATAGTTGGCAGTGTTAGCCATGGGGAACGATGAGACCCTGTCATTTGATACAAAGCAGATGAATTTAGAAGATTTAATGGCAAGTGGAGTAAGCCCGGCTATGAAAGACAGACCCTGCTTGCCCCCACTCGGTGTGCCCTGGACGTCTGCACTCTGCGGCAGGAATGGGCAGCTCTGAAGGTACAGCAGTAGAGGGGACAAGTGTGCATACTAGACACTGTAGGGGACAGGGATGGACGGCAGAGGGGGTGGGAGGGGCTCAGAAAAGACATAGTTAAGAGACCTAGAGAAGTAAGGTTCTCTGATGAGATGCTGTGTACGGTCATACCCTTCACGGGACTGTTAGGTATTGCACACATACCCTGAGAAATCGTACTGTGTGCACAGAGACGTACAGCTCTTAAATGTAAGAAATCATAAAGTAAGACATAGAGAAATGAGTGAGGAAACAGATTTGAATAGCACCGTAGAGCAAACGGACTAACAGACAGATGTATGCACTTATATAAAATTGGCCGCAGGGCGTCCATGCACCTTAAAGCTGTCCTCTTCCTCTTTGTAAACCGGGTCCATGCTGGTTATCACCGTAATGAACTCGCTTGCAGTGAGTGGTTTATGAGCTTGCTGCCGGATTCTCCGATCTGTAAGCACACTTCTGACCACTTCGACAATGTGTCCTTGAGTGAAGCCATCGGTGACCTTGGCTAGGCTACTTACACTCAAGGCGTTAGTGAGGACTCCTCCGTTCTGTTGAATGATCTGTTTCCACAAAACTGTTGTATCCAAGATGGCAGAAAAGACACAGAGGACCAAGGTTACCACAGAGAAAGCAGTTACCATGCTCAGAGCACAGTCGTGTCTCATCAAGAAAGGGGAACAAGGATGTCTACTCCGATTTACTTAGAATTCAAAGGAACTAAAAGCCAAATGGCTAAACGCTGTCCTCTGGGGAATGTCCAGCTCTAGGACATGCATGTCAATGACCCTCAGGTCCATAGACCCGTAAGTCCCCTACTGATTGGCAAGGAGCAGTGTGATGAAGCCACTAGGCAGGATATTCTGGATGGAAAATCACATTTTGTATGCTACGATGATGCTCAGGGAATGAATGTAAATTTATTAATTAATTTAAAAAATGTTTCAGAAAAGAATATGCTAAAAAGGATCCACAAAAAGTTGGAAAGCATAGACACCTGCTATTTTTGTGCAAAGTACCTTAAGAGTACCCGTAATGTAATTCGGCAAACACGCGCATACAGTAAGAGCAAAATGATGTTTTAAGACAGGTGAGACTTAGCTACATCGGAAATGGAACGTTCAAATGTTCAAATGATCCATGTATCTCTTTCTAGAAAAGGTAAATTATGCTGTAATAAAATTGTAAAGAGAGCACCCTGTTATTTCTACAAAGACACAGAGAAATAAATATTTACAGAAAAAAAAAGGTTGGTCTAGTTTTATTGTGGCACCTGTAAAGATGTTGAAAAACTTCCTGAAGTGGAAATTCTCATAGGGTACATATGACATTTCTGTTTATCAGAAACATTATATTTTTGAGAGAGTCTGAGTCAAGACAAGTTTAACTTCTTATTTTTTAGTTAAGTTTGCTTAGTGCAGTATTCGTATATCTGAAATGAGAAAGCTACTGCCAGGCTTGGTCCCCTTTGGGTGTAAGATGCTGTATGATACGTTGTATTAAATAGAGAAATTCGATGTTCTTCTCTCTCCCCAACAGCAGTAAACATGGACTCCTTCAGTGAAATCCATCTGAGTGCCTGGCTCTTCTCTGGCTTGCAACACTTGGGGTAGATGAGAATTCAGTGAGCATGCAGGGATGTCGGAAAAATAAATTACGAAACCATTCTCAATGCATAACTTTAGAGCTAGAATGAACTGTACAATGGCTAAAATAACATTGCCTTTGGAGAATACCCATTCTGTAAAGAGCTTCAAGAGACGTAAGTGACATTTGCTGTAACTCATTTCTGTGAGACAGCGGGCAGGTGAAGGGCATTCGCTAGGTCGTCTGTCTAGCACCAGAGGTCCGTCTGGCACTGGGACGATCTGGCCAAATGTCTCTAAGCATTTTCTCCTTCTTTGAGAAATGTTCAATGCATTTGTTTTTTAAAATGACTATTATTACATAACCTAGCCATTGTCACGTCTGGTGAGGGATTAACTCTGTGAAATGAGTGTACTGCCAAATGTGTGGCCCCAAAAGTGGCTGCTGACGTGAAAATTTCTACGTACAGGGAAGGAATTAAATGGCCTAACTGAAGCTACATCGGAGCCTGGCTCTGGGACCATGCGCTGTTCCAGCCGTTCATCTGCACTGACCCGTTTGGTGGGGTCCTTGGCCCTGTGGCTGAGCTGAGTTGCTGGGAGACGGGAATTTTACTGGGGGCCTACTGTTTTCCTTTGAGCTGGTGAAGATTAAGCTTCAAGGGTTTGGAGGCCTTCACTGGGACTGCCATGGGATCCCTAAACTGGCCTAGGGCAACATCGAAGCCCCTGATCTACTCTGCTATTTTCTTGGGGAGTTGATTGAGTTTGAAATAGAGCTAGTCCTATCTGTAAGACAAGAGTAGACCGGTGGACTTCTCAGCGCTGCCGAGGGAACGAAGGACGCACCGTGCAGAGCACCCCCGGCAGCCGGCACGCGGTGCACCTCGCTCCCTGGAGCTGGGCTGTGGTTTACAGCGGCTATTACCGCCGCTCTCTCCATCTTGCACCGAAGCGTCCTAATCCTTATTAGAACATCGGCGATAAAAGGCAACCCGAACTAAACTACAGAACATTTCAGAGCACTTTCGGTAAAGACAGATTGGAGCAAGTGACGTTTATATTGATCTAAATAGAACTGTTGTAGACTTGGAAATCAGAAAATATAACGGATGGAAAAATGATAAACAGCAACAACTAGGCGACACCATCCCTGGCGAGCTGTCGAGTCGCTGTCCAAATGTATGACGTCTAGAAGGGGGAACCTGGTGTCCGTGATTCTGGAGCTGAGAAAGGAGCAAGCTTTATGGGACGGCCACAGATGAGGCCCTGAAAGCTGAAGAACTAGTAGGTATCCCAGGCCGGGACTCAGAACAGGGCAGAATGCTGACCT